ACATATAAAATATTTAACAACAATTAGCACAACAAGAAAGTAGAATGGTATTGTTATTCTTACTTATAATAATAATAACCAACTATACCATAAGCCTTACTTCATTTAATCCTAAAACAACTCTGACTACTATTATTATTGCTATTTAACAAGCAGAAAACTAAGAAACAGAGAACTGAATTAACTTGCAAATGGTCACACCGCTAGCTCTTAACAGACCTGGGAATTGAACCCAGAGTCTCTAGTTCTAGAGCTCAAGCTCTTAACTGCTGTGCAGTGTGCTTCCTGTGATACACATTTCAGCCAGCTTGTTTATTTCCACCTTCCTCCTCAATAAAATGTTTACCAGACTTGCCAACAAGTACAAAGACTAGAGAAAATAATTCTTGGGCAGCAATATATGTGGAGTAACCTTCTAACAAGTTCAAAAACCTTATGTGGAATTGATCTATCTATCTGGTGAGGTGCCTGGTCCCTGGATATTTTCAAGGAAAATCTCAAGGACAATACACAAGGACCGTGGTTCTCAACCTGAGGTGACTATACCCTCCAGGGGACATTTGGCAATGTCTGAAGATATTGTCATAACCGGGGATTGAGTATTAATGACATCCAGTAGATAGGGACCAGGGATGCTGCTAAATATCCTAAAGTACATAGGAGAACCCTCCAATTCATGGCCCCACAAACACAGAATGATCTGGTCCCACTCAATGGCATCACTGTTGAGAACCCTGTTTTTGGAGGTGTTATGAGATCTTTAGCTCCTGATATAGGTCATAGGGATGTCCTCTATGGTTATCTCATCCAGTACAGTTGTCACTTGCCACATGTGACCATTAAAATTAAACCCAAATCAAATTCAAATTTTAATTTCTCAGTTGCACTTGCCACATTTCAAGGGCTTGATGGACAAATGAAGCTAGTGGCCAATGCTTTGGATAGAACAAGTGTAAAGAACATATCCATCATCTCAGAAAGTTCTTTTGGACAGTGTTACTCCAAAGGTCTATTAAATATCTCAAGCTGTGTTCCTTTAATGTTATGAGAAATCACATATTAAAACGGTGACTTGTAAAACAGATAAAATAGGGCATATTTATTCACATCATAAAAGTGACCTTTTAAATGGGAATGTTGCTAATATATTTGATGGCTTATCTCCTTGTTAAGAATCTGATTTACTTGTTTATAGGTCATTAAAACTGGGAAGAAAGTGGAGACTTAAACCTAAAATTGGCAAAGCCAATATCAATTGAAGTTTCAGAAAAAGACTTGAGACAGCTCTGAAATTACAATCTAAAGTAAAGATTGCTAGGAAGTAATAGAATTTTTTAGTTAAAATAGGGTTTGCCTAATATTTTTTGGTTTAGGTTTGTTTTTAGAGACCACAAAGTTCATGGGGGAATCTGGTAAAACATACTGATGCTCTATTTGCAAGGGGGAATGTGAACCCACAGATATATACAGATACAATTTTCTATGCAATTCATCTGTTTACCAGTTGGTCCCCACTTCTTACCTCCATTTCACATATGAGGAAATCAAGGCTCTGAGAAATTAAGTGACTTCCCAAGTTTACACAGTGGCAGAACCTGAATGAGAAGGTGGATATTCTAATTCCCAAACCTTATACATTTGTTAAGAAATATCAATTTATATAAAGTAGCAAAAAACTAATCTAGTATGTGATATAAGATACACTTATACCATTCAGGTTCTTCTTCTGTGCCTCTATGAAGGGAGGAAAGAGTAGTGCTTAAAAACAAGGGAATGGCCTCCAAAATTGCCAGAGAGTAGAACAGAGAAATGCAAGCCCACTGACTACTCCACAGGCTGGGCTGTATAGCTCTGAATGAAGAGGTGTGTTCTGTAATTTCTGATTTAGAATTTTTATCCAGAATGCTTCTTTGAGAATCCATGGCCTTTCTCCAAATACCACACTGCAAGTAATAATATCTCACCCAAATGCCTCCATCTTTCTCAGTAAGGCTTCGGGAAGCACAGTTTGTGAATTCCCCCTTGAATAGTTCATTAAGTTATTTGCTTTTCTTCTGCCTCCTATCTCCTGTGTTCTGCGTCCTTATTTGTGCTTTTCCTTTAAAGCCACTACAGAGCCTAGAAAACTCCCTTATGTAAAATTCCAAAATTCAACTGTGTATTTTACTCTTAGACTTAATTATAAGAAGTTGCACCTGTTCTATACATGCGGCTTTCAAAGTGTCCCATTACGTAGAATAGCAAGCAGCAGCAAAAAGTAGCGAATCTCAGTGAAGTGTAATCCTCACTGAGCTATCCCTATTGAGATCATATAAATAGAAATAATATTCAAGAAAAAAGAAATTGCCCAACAGATCTACTTACAAACCCCAAACCCCAAACCTTACAAAAAATCTTACAAACCCCCAAAAGCTTAGTGAGTCACGTACATTAAGCCCAATGTCTGGAACATAGCAATCAATTTAAAAATATTCGTTGAGGGAATAAGATACTTTCATTTTCCTCTTTGCCATTCATTCGCTCTGCTGTCTGTCCTCGTCTGTCCAAACCCCTGTGGACTTCATTACCCAGGCTTTCCTGCTGGGTGGCTGCCTATTGGCTACAGGCCATGGAAGGTTAGAAGGTGGAAAAAAAGACACATTGAAGGAAATAGATAAATGAAAAGATTTAGAAAACCAGCTGTATAAGTAAGTATACAGCTTATACTTTTAAGTATAAGTAAGTTTTAACATTAAGGAATAAAGCTGTAAATATAAAATTTATTTCCCAAAATATTAAAATCTCAATTATTGAAATTATACTGAAATAAGTTTTAATATACAAAAATTTACATACATGCTTAGATAATATATGAGAGGGGCCAGGGAAAGATAATCTAATTGAGAAAACTGATTTAGAGTCAGAAAAAGTGCTAAGAGCATTAATAAATGAAAACTGGCAATTAGCTTGTACCTTCACTATGGACTGGAAGTTTGCAAATGTATGTATGTATACGTATGTTAAACAGTTCCAATCAATCATAAAATTGGCACAGCCTGGTATATCATGTATGGTCTAACATCTGACTTGGAGCAAAATCTTCTTGTAACTACGTGGATTTAGGGAGGTGGGGTCCAAGTGGGGATTGGACACAGGCATGAGTTGGTTTCAGGTCACAGGTATGAGCCATAGCGAGACATTGCATAATCAAAAGGACTAGTCCTCCATCAAGAAACATGGCCTGAATTGCTTTAGCTTATGAACAGGTCCAAAGTCAGAGTCCTCATCGTGAGAGGGAGGGTGGCAGCCTGCAGACTACAGCCCGTCTCTGAATTAATGCTCTCTTTCTTCTCTCGCTGATGCTCACTCCAGCATGCTGGCATTTTCTCTTTCACTCTGACTCTCTCTTACTATAATGCATGACATTTATTTTTCTTATTGTAAAATGTCAGAAACAGTCAACATACAAAAAAAAATACCACAGAAATAAAGATAAGCAAAAGGAAAATAAAACATAAAATGACAAATACCCACACTGAGATAACCAGGGTTTGCACTTGGTGGATGTATATCTTTCAATAGGTAGGTGATAGCTGGCCTGATGAATAAATGATAGGTGAGTATTTCCTGGCAAAAAATCTAATCAAATGTGCCTGTTTTATAACTTGCCTTTTCATTTAACAATATGTTTTAGTATCTTTCCAAGTTACTGCCTACCCTTCTACAGCATCATTTTTATAGCTGAAAAATATTCTATTACATGAGTTTGTCATTTTTTGTTTATCCAGTGTCCAATTGTTTGAATTTTAAATTCTTCTGAATATTCCGCCTTTTAAATGAGGCTGTAAAAGATACCCTTACAATCACTTGCTATTTCAATAGCAGGGTTATGGTCATTATCTCTGTTTCTCAGTGCAGTGGCAGGGCTTTGCCTGCCCTTTTTACCTCTAAGTTCTGGCTGTGATTACAGAAAGGCACACTAATGGTGGAATCAGTTTGGTTTTAAAGGGGTAGGTCCTGTATTTCCAATTCAGTGCCATCCTTCCTCCACCAAAAGCCCTCTCCTGGGTCCTTCCTGACACCAGAAGTCCTTTCCCCATGTACAGCCACATCAGCCAGGTAATCTCGGGGAATTAGTGAAAATTTTAGTCAGTATTTCTTTGTTTTTTATTAACACAGTGTCAAAATGAAAGGGGATGTCCATCCTTTTCTAATTCTTTCACATATGCACATCCATATACTACCTGCAATGCATTTCACAAATGTGCATGAGTGTGCATATGTATATGGCCCATGACTCTGCCAGCTGGCTGATGCTGTATTCACTGTTCCTGTCTGAGAAATTCAGAGGTCACCATGTGTTTTGCACTACTTACCCCTCTATCTATGGTTACAACCTAGCAAATCACAGATACACAGATTTCAGCACTCATGCATTTCAAAAAAAAAAATTTATTGAGCATAACAATGGTGGTCAGGTAGGTGGTCAGGTTACAGGAGTAAACAAGAGTGAAAGTCCCTGTCCTCACAGACTCACACCCAAATGCACACTGGGGTGTAGCATGCACTCAACAAATCATATGTGTTAACTTGTGCCAAGCACTGGGAACAATGCTTGGCACATTGTGGGTGCCTGGAAGTGGTATCTAGTAGTAGTAGCAGTTATACTATTTGCAGAGTAAATGAAGGGAGGAAGGTGGGAAACTCAGTGAGGTGCCAGTGAACTGAAGCTCTAAAGCTGCACATGCTATGAGGCAATGGGATCTGTGGAGAAGCAGATGGAAGCAGCAGGAAAGTCAACAGTCAAGTAGTGACAGAAATTGAACTGTAGGGATAGCAGGGCTCTGACCATGTCCTGAAGGGTGGCCCAATTCTCCCAGAAGCTATGCAGTTGCTCAGATAAGTCCCTGTGCTTACTCACTTTGCTGTGTGACAGTTGGGGTACCCTAAGCAAGTCTGCTTCTTACAATCCAAAATAACCCAGATGGAATGATATGGTGATTTCATAGTTTTCTCATTACCGTGAGGGCAAAGTCTCTTCTTTTTAGCACTTCTGGTCAACATGGAACTCATTCTTCTTTGGATTTTTTTTCTGCCTTCATCTGAATCCTAAAGAGAAAAATAAAATGATGTAAGCATTTCAAAAGAAACATAAAGCCCACCCAGAATTATTATTCTTGCAGTATGTGAGCAAGCATAGATGAGCCTCTATCCTATGTTTGGTGGCTTAGTGAAGAGGGCGTGGAGACAGAGTCTGACAAACTACCTTAGCCTCGCTCTTCCTTTTGTGTTCCCATTTTCAGTGCCACATCCAAAATAAACATAAAAAAGTAAGAATTTCTTTCCTGTAATTTTATGGTTCTCTGCTTTCTTTGTTCAATTTAATGTAACCTATATAAGATTAAAAAATATTTTTTAGCTATGAGGGAATTGGAATTTATCAATAGGAAGTTTTAAAGGTTTGCCCAAAGTAGTTTGAATATTTTTCAGGAAGATAATGTTCATTGAAAACAAAACTGGAAACAACCATTATCCCTATATAATAGTTCAGAGAAAAAAGAAAATGTTCAGCGTACCGTTCAGAAGCCAGACACCTTCATAAACCGTGTAAAGAATGGCATACAGTACGGTGTAGTGGAAGTGATGTAAATTTTGAGACTGACATCCTTACATTTTAATTCTAGTAATGCTGCTTCCTAGCTGTGTAATTTTTGGTAAAATAACTTTTCTTACAAGTAATAACTGTTGTCACTTGTAAAGTATGGAAAATACTAGCCTACTGCCAGAGGTGTTGTAAGAGAATATCTATAAACCTTTCATTAGAAAAATTGGTACTTGGGAAGGCTAGGGAATGTCAGTTCTCCTTTCTCTGTCCCCACCTTCAGAGTTCAGTCCCTCCCAGGGATTCCTGGTCTACCCCGGCTTCATATCCATCTTATGTCAGACTTCTTACTTTTGCTTCTGATAATGGTTGAGTGAGATCCTACTAGACTGACCTTCCTGAACAGAACAAGTAAAAACTTTGGACATAATACAAGTAGCAGCTTCCTGAAAGGCAGTGGAGGCAGAATCAGGCAGATCCTGGAGGGTTGCCCACTCTTAGATCAGGGGACTTAGCGGAAGGGCTCTTAGTTTGTAGCCGAATATAGTCAGAGAGGCCTGCAGGATGGCAGGGCGATGGGAGGGGAAAAAAATCCCAGTCCTTCCAGCCTGGAGAATAAAAAACAGAATCTAGAAAAACCATAGCCACTGGAGGGAGAGAAGGGAAATGCAGAAACAGAAAGAGTCAGAGGGAGGATCTCAAAATTCTGTCTGTCCTTGACTCTGGCTGACCCCTGGACCACATACACACAGTGTAGACCCAAAGAAGCTCAGATAAAGACAAAAGATTTTAAGTGACAAAAAAGCAGCCATACAAAATAAGCAGATTTCCAGTTGAATTTTTTTCCTCATCGAAGCAAAATAATAGAATATAGAATCTCCATAACTTTATATTTACAATGTCCAGGATACAATGCAAAATTACCCATAAAACAAAAAAGGAAATGAAACACATTCTCAAAAGAAACCAAAATATCACCTGAAACCAACCCTGAGATTATCCATATACTGGAATTAGCAGGCAAATGTTTTGAAGCAGCTATTAATAAATGTGCTTAGTGAAGTAAAAGATATATTTGCAGTGAATGACAAGATGGGAGACCTCTCTTTGACAAAAAAAAGTTGTGGCCTCTGCTGTGAAATTTGATAGCTTAGATCTTTGGTGAACTCTCAAAACAAAATAACTTTAATCCAGGTCTCCCCCTGCCCCCACCCTCAGAAAAAAATTTTGGTGAATGTGATTTACCAAAATCTAAATGTGGTTGTTAACAAGGTCCTGGGCAATATCACAGAGTTGATTTGCTTCTACTCATTCTTCTTTGCATGCTCTGTGCTTTTTCATGCCTCTGCCCCATCTCTCTAAAGTTCCATCTCTCTAACGTTCCGTTCCCCTCCTTTTATGAATATTTACTTACATCTGTCTCGCCCATTTGAAAGTGAACTCTATGAGGGAGTGAAGGAAGAAAAAAGCCAACATTTGGGTACCTGCAAGGAACCAGAATTGAAAATTCACATATGTTGTTTGGGAGGGCAGGAACCAATACCATTTCATCTTTGTAGATTTGATGCTTACTATACTGCATGGTTTTGCAGCCTGTGGGTAAACCCAAATTCCTTCTTTGTTCTTTGGACTCTGATGCTCTTTGTTGCATGTATGCATATTTACATTTTCAAAATCATATATTAATCAAGTTGGTACCATAGGCAAAGTCCGAAACTAACAGGCTATTGATGTAATGCAAAAGACACAGTGAAGACACGAAAATGAAAGGATGTAGATGCCTAAAAACTCCCCAGGGAAATGCTTAGACAACAAAGTGGAATTCGGTGAGTTAGGAAAGCAGAAAAATAGGCCACAGGCAGAGGAGCAAATAGAGTCAGAGAGGGCCCATCATTAAGATGATTTTGTACAGAATCCAATTCAGGGGAAATCACCTGGGAAGAGGAGAGGAAAAAGGAATGGAAGGAAACAAATCAACATTCCAATGCATCTCTTTGCAGATGTGAAGATAACACTGGCTGTGACTGCAGGGAATTAATTACATCTCATAGTAATACTTAGATTCAACACATATTGTTTTCTTGCCTTATACAAGCTAAATTTACTAATCCTTAAAAATTGTGAACTATTTCGGTTTTGGTTTATGTCCTGCATCTAGTCCTAACTGTCCAAACCAAAAGTAAACCCTCAGACCACAGATGAAACTTACTCCCCTTGGTTTACTGTCTTCCATCTTTACACTGATGGTTGACAGCCTCTTTAGCATTTTCTCTAAGTGTCTCAATTAAAGGGATAAATGGTTTTTACATGGCTCTGGGTCTGTCTTTTGTCACTGAATTGATTTCTTCCCCTGAGCTCTGGATTCTGTTCTCCTCTCCTTCTAACTACTTTTATTTATTAATTACACCTTGCTCACATTTATCTTCAACCCTTCCTTTTCCAGGTTCTTCCACATTAAAAAGAAAGCTACCACCTATATGTCTTTGTTCATTCATAGACAAACATCTTGGAACTTGTCTATTTTCCTGATCTCCAATTTCCTTTCCACTTCTGTCCCAACACTCTGGTGAAACTCCTGTTACCAAGCTAACCAATGAGCTCCTCATACCAAACCCAATGGATGTGTTTTCAGTTCTTATTTTGCTGGACTTCTCTGCAGCATTTAACAATATAGCACAACCTCACTTGTTAAACTCTCTCCTTTATTGGATTCCACAAATTGCTCTCTCCTGGTTTTCCTCCTGTTAATCTTGAAGCACATTCTGTTTTTCTTACAGAGTTTTTTCCCTCCATGTTGCCTCCTGAAACATTTCTGCTCCACAAAGTTCCATCTCTGGGCCTTTGCTCACTTAATCCTGTCTCCTTGAGGAATCTTATCCACTCCCATGATTTTGGTGACCACTCACACACAGGTCATCTTTAGAACAGATCGTTCTCTTGAGCTCCAAAGAATATATCTAATTGCCTCATTTTATTTCTCCTCTGCCAAATTTACTTCTCCACTCACTTACACATCTTGGCAAATGTCACCTCCCTTCATTCTTTTGCTCAAGACAAGATTTTAGAATTATCCTTAATTCTGTCCAACTCTGCTCCCACAGTAAAGCAGCCACCAAGCCTGGTCAATTCTCCAGATAGTTCTCACTTTCTTTTCCTATCATTTCTCCCCTGGGTTACTGCTAAATGCATCTCAAATGGACTTCTACTCTTAGTCTTGCCTGACTGTTCATTCTACTGTCTTTGCTTGTGCTAGAATTTGCATTTTGAGGCTAACTCTGTCACCCCTTAATGATATCCCATTGCTTTCAGGATAAAGTTTAAATGCCATCACAACGTCATCAGTGTCCTCCATGTCCAGCTCTGCCTTACTTACTTAAAATAAATTGCTTGCCCCAGACTTCTTCACCTTCTATTCCCTTAAGCTGGAACCAGACGTTGCAGTGACCCATCCTCAGCTGTGTGAAGGTAGGGGAAAGAGATGGCCCCAAACATCCTCACACAGCAAAGCTACCCACCAACCGAGGCTAGCAAGACAATTCTGTGAGAAGGAAACAAAATTGATTTTATTTGGAGTCCTTTACAACTCTACCCTAGCCTGTACCCAAACTAGTTAAACTGCCTTCTCCTCACACCATTGTTGCTCTCTGTCTCCAGCTGGATCCCGGTTCAGTCTATACCAGGTGAGTTGCATTCTCCAAATGCTCCATGCTTCCTTACCCTCCATGCTTATGTCCATGCTGCTCCCTCCATCTAAAGTCTGCCATCTTTTCTCTCTGCCTGGATACCTCCCATTGTACCTGAGGACTCCAGTGAGGTGCTGGCTCCTATCTGAAGCCTTCCCAGACGTGCTCTTTGCTCTCCACCCCTCTGCTCACACAGCACCCCATGCATCGTACCACAAGGTCCCATGATCACTGGTTTGCCTGCGTGCCTTCCCTCTGCCAATGAGCATCTTGATAGCAGGGCCGATCTTTTACCTCTGGCATATAGCTGGGACTCAACATAAGTCTACTGAGTGAGGAGTCAGAGAATCTCGTGATATTCCAAGTTTCCCTAGAGGAGGTTTATGTGTATCTGAATGTGTGTATGTGTATCTGGGATTGAGCCATCATAATGAAAATACCAGGAAACTAAAGAGCCAGCAACTGGGAATGTAGCCAGCATCTTTAGAGAGTGCTCAGCAAGCAGGCCGGGGCTAGGAGTTTAAATGCCAAGCCCAAGGATCAGGAGCAAGGAGGATCAAGAGTGGGGTAACCCAGACAGTATTTTAAAGAGCAGAGAATGACTCGTATGGATTCTACATCCTAAACCCCTGAAACTTTAAATGTGTTTGGCAACATAGCAAAGGGGAATTTATGGCACAGATGGAATTAAGGTTGCCAATCGACTCACCTTAAAATAAGGAGATTATCTTGGATTATCTCAGTTGGCCCAAAGTAATCACAAGGGTCCTTAAAAGTGGAAGATTGAGGCAGAAAACAGAGAAGGAGAAAAAATGGCAATGTGAAAAGGCCTTAATCTAATGTTGCCAGCTTTGGTGATGGAAGGAGGCCATGAGCGAAGGCGTGTGGAGAGCTTCTTAAAGCGAGAGAAGGCAAGAAAATGGATGCTCTCCTAGAGTTTCCAGAAATGCGTTTCCCTGCCAACACTTTGTAAGTGACACCCATTCAGACCTTTGACCTCCAGAACAGTAAAATAATAAGTACACGTTGTTTTAAGCCACTAAATTCATGGCAATTGGTTGCAATAGAAATAGGAAACTAATAAAAGTGTCAACTGAATGAACTTGGACAGTATACTTAATCTAATTAAATCTCAGTCTCCTCTATAAATAGAGATAATATTCATTCTGTAATTGTGGGGATTAAGTGAGATATTTTATCTACAGATCTTGGTAAAGTGTTTAGCACACAGTGAACACTCCATACACAGTAGTAATTACTTATTAATATCATCATTGTTATTATTGTTCACTCATGTGCCTACTACATCTGGTGGAGAGGAAGTGACAGAGAAAAAAAGGTAGAAAATAAAATAATAAACATCTATTTTGGAAATGTGCAGGCATATTTAGTTTTAGCTCTTTTGTAATGTGACTTCTTAACTCACAGAATGTACTTCGTTTCCTTCTGCTTTCTCTTTCTTGCTTTAGGTATTAAGATCTATTTTAAATTTAGTCATTTCAAAGTCTCCTTGGCATCGTGTAAATGTCACACCATTAAATATATATTCGATGAGTGCTCAAGCAGGCTGGTTTCCCAGCCAAGAAACGGATTCCCATGGGTGGGCAGGTGGAGAGATGACACCCCCCTGCCCATTGACTCTGCTGTCCTTACTCACCAGGACCACATTTTCTGAGCTCCAAATTAGGATGTACAGTCTGAAAAACATGTTTTCTTCTGAGTTTTAATTTATTTTTATGAAAAGACTTTCACAGGTATTAAACTAAATCACATGAAATTTAGTGGATAATCTTTACTGCAAAGAATAAACTCAAGTGAAAATTCAGGGCAAATATATATCAGTTTTTATTATATTTGAAATCTAAATTATCTGTGACAATCTAGAAGGGATTTAGTTTCGGTTCTGGTTGGTTTTGTTTTGCTCTCAAGCATCCCCTTCTCCTACCCTTCTCTGAGGCATGCTGCCCGCATTCCAAGCCGATGACCCAGTGAACTACCAGACATCAAACCCCAGCTTCTGGTTAATGGAATTGACATGTGACCCTGACCCAGCCAATCACAATACTCCATCAGCCTGGCCACTGACTGGTCCCATGAATAAGCACGTGATCCAATGGAGCTAATTTCATACGGACATCTGACAAACATTACTTAGTTCCTTGCTTTCCTCTTGAATAGCAAGCAGTGGTAACATACATGGGAGCTGTCGCCTGCCGTACTTGCTACCACAAAAAGGAAACACAGCTACAGGAAGTGAGTGAGGCCAAAAACCAGAAAGAGGAAGAGTCGAGAAATGGAGGGAGAAAAAGCCCTAATGATACCTCTGATCACTCAGACCCATTAGTGCCAGACACCGCTTACTCCCCAGCCTTCTCTGTACATGAGACAATAATTCTTTTCTAAGTGGGATTTCTGTCACTTGTAAGTGAAAGAGGCCTCAATAATAGCACAGAGTCATTGCAAAACTAGTCTCCAAAAGAGAAACCTCAGAAACACCAGCCCAGATATGGGCCAAAGAGGGACAGGAAGAAAGAAAAGTACAGCAGGCAGTAAGGCGAAGTGGGAAGAGAATGAGAGACACAGAATCAGACCAGCAGGGTTAAAACAGCTCTGCTATTTTCCAATGACCTTGGCAAGGTGTGACCTTCAATGACAGCATAGCATTTCTGTTTAATGATCTGCAAAGTGGACGACTATGATATCACTGCCATATACAATACGGTGCACTGTGGGAGGCTCACCTGAGATAATAAATGAAAGCGCTCTTTGTAAATGTTAAGTGCTTGCAAATGGCACTTATC